AAAAAAAAAGATGTATGCAAACATTACAAATCCGCCAATCCGTTTGTTCTTTTCACGTATGAGACATCATTGCTCGCAGTGGCTCCTGGGTTAACCCTTTGAAGGGCACTGGTATATAATAGTATATACTCGATGTTTGTCAATTTTTTAACTGCCTAAAAATAGCTCATTTTTCTACGCCAAAAGCTGTAATCATAAGTTTCTACTGTTTTCTTTTGATTCTAAATGGCAGCACTACCCTATGAATGCTCAATATTTTGCAGTTATGAAATTAATATACCTCTTCTAAGGTATCTGTTGGAATATTCATAATTCATTGTGGGTAGGAAAAAATTCACAATCTTCAAAATATGTGCACACAGCTGAAACTTTTATATTAACTGCATTTCAATCAAAATTGATAATTAAAAGAAGATTATCTACACGTTTTTAATACCGGTATATAATATATATTGGCACCCCTACTAAGGTACCTTGCCAATAAATGGTAGCACCAGGCTTCTCCTTCTCTATTCTATGAGAGTACAGGATTTCTTTACATTATAATAGTTTATGATGCAATATTTTGCTTATGATTAATTTACCAGTTGATTAGGATCCAGTATTATGTTCATGGATGTATGGGAAGTCTACTGACCCTGTCCTAGGTCTCAATACAAGCATATTAGTTTTGTTTCATTCCTTGTTTACAATACTCGAGTTTCTCATTCGTCTCTGTTTAGCTAAAATTTTAATTTCAGCCCTTTCCTACAAGAAAGACTCATCTGGCGTCAAAAAAAGCAACACAACTGTAGAGGTTAAATGTGGCATTGTTAGCCCCCCAAATACACCAGTTGTTTCAGGTTTTCCAAAATCTCAGAATGCAGCAAAAATGACAGATGACGGACAACAAATCTGTCACGCAGTGGTCATGCTATCTCCAAAAAGGAACTGTGATAATGTCACACAATGGGAAAGCTTTAAAAGTACGGGAAATCAAAATGCACTTTAGGTCAATTTTAGGCAATAGAAAAAATGACGATTGAAGCAGCTTTTAATGCTTCCAAGTAACACATCCAACTCAGTACTACGGTTACGCAAACCTTCATCGTTTGCTTCCCACACTTTAAATAATTGTCATCCGACTAAAAAGTTAGCTTCATTATTCTGTTTCGTGTCTCAAGTTGCTCCTCCAAATAGCCCTTTGAAGAACTAATATTTAAGCTGCTATTGAAGGGGTTCCCCCACATTATTATCAAGAGTTAAAAATTCTCATCTCAAAACACTAAAGGCAATTTGTTTAGGAGATATAAAAATTCTGTATATCCCTTCGTTCCATCATAGCTTAAAGTTGCACAATTTGCAGAAATTAACTTTCGGGTTGTTATTCTCCCATTAAAAATTCCGAGTTCATACTCAGGACCCCATTCCGGATATAATTCCGGGGTATTTATAGATTCCTTGCCAGTGGTTAATTTACATTGGCCAAACTAAGACCTTAAAATTTCGCGTAAGGAACATGAGGCATATGTAGAAAAAAGGAAACACAAAGTCTTCTGTTGCAAACATTGTTGGTCCGACAACCACTTCGTTTCTGTGCCAAAATATTCAAAAACACTTCCAGTGGAGAACGGATTTCTAGGCATTTCAATTCATAAAAATCTCTGTTCAGTTAACGATCCATCAATCCAAATTGCCTTCGGCCTTTAAAGATTATGTTTTCGTTCTGGTTTACCAACAGATGGCGCACTGCTATTCTTGTCCAGGGTTTTATTATCTATCATTATTTCCGATCTTGTTCATTTGCGGTTTTGCAGGAAATGGTGGTTCGGTTAAAAACCATCGCAAACAGTCCTGTGAAAACTTGTAATATAAGTGATTTTGTGTTTGATTCTGAATTAGCATGTTTATTCTTTAGGTCTTGTAATTTTAGAGAGAACTAAAGAATACAGAATAATTTTCCCCTTGGATTAGGATACAAGTACTGGGTTAGTCTCACAGCGGGGAATTGAGGGAAATATTCTAAGCCGTTTAATGCAAAACAAATATCTTGGAGGGGAAAAAAAGCGGGAAATATTGAGTTTTTAGTTTTGATTGAAATAAGAGCTTTGAGATGTATCACATAATAAAATCGTTTAACAGCTTTTCTTCTTGAACAAAATGATATATTTTTTATATATTATCTAAAGCATAAAATATAATAACTTCAAAAATGCAACATAATTTTTCGGCTGAGACATAGTGTTTCATTTAAAATTTTTTTAAAAATTTTTCGCCTGAGTAACATTTATACTATCTCAATTACAGCATGATACGGTTTCTGCATGCAGCAATGCATGCAAATTTGCTAAAACTTTTCCTAAAATGATAATATTGAATTTAAATCACTTTTAAAATCTTTATACCCATATTTTACATAAGTATATTCAGTTAAGTGGCATCATCAAAGTGCGAAAAACATAAAATTTATTTTCTAATTTTAAATTTCTAGTGAAATTTTAAACATTTAATGCCTTCAGACTTACAACACTGTACTCAAGCACCCATCTGTATAGATGCACATCAAAAGTTTGCAGAAATAGATGAAGAAAACAAAAATTAACAATTGGCAGCTACCTGGGAAAAAATGTCGTACAGGAGCACCGGTATAAAATGTATACCAGCTCTCAAAATTCAGGATTTCACTCTAGATCTTTTTGAAGTCTCAATTTTGTGTCCTAAGGGTCTATAAGATACAATTCATTCAAAATTTTACCACAATTTAAATTATTTTACATACCGCCGCTCAAAGGGTTAAGGGATGGAAGAAGATATACATCTGAACTGGTCCTGAGAATGAAACTGTTTCATATCCCCATTTCTCCCTAATACAAACGGTAGCTGTGTGAAAGAGCATCACATGTGAACAGGGCTCTATATTAGCAAATAGCTACAGTAACCTTTCACTGCAATCACCTCTAAAAGTGACCTCTTTAATCATAAATTCTGAGTTTTTTTTTTTTTTTTTTTTGAAATTATGCATGAATCATTTAAAAATGTGTAATACTTTAAAAAAAAGCTTATATTTCACAGATAATCTGATAAAATTTTAAATTTTTGTAAATTTTTCAAAACAGCCCTGCATTACCAAATATAGTTAAACTGAACATCTTTAATTTCCTATTAGATTTGGATGTTACTTTTTTATGCTACATATTTCGAAATGAGTAAAAATATCTATAGTTATTTGCATACTGTGTTATTTCAATATTTCATTGGAAATGCACTTTTAGTTTCTCAATCTGCATTTACTTGAACTTAAAACCGATGCAGGAAGAAAATACAGTCAAAAGTCGTTAATCCGGACTCGTCGGGACTTCGGCGATTCCGGATTATCGATTTTTCCGGATTATAGATCATCAGTTTAAATCGCGTAAGATGGCATGCGAAATTCTAAAATTAAAAATATGAAAACGTAATTATGAAATAAAGAACAATTATGATCTAAGGGTATCAAAATTACAAAAAAAAAAAGCTTAATATTTATTTGTTATTTAAAACATTTCTTTCATAAGTTGTTAAGTTGCTTCTTTTATGTGATAATACTTTCTTTTTAATTCTATAAACAGACATAATTTTTTGTTCAATTACAAAGTTCCGTGTTCAAGTCGTTAATTGCTGTGCCGAGAATACTGACAATTGTCAATCGAAATTTTTTCGTTTTCACTAACCTCTCTGTCACATTCTTCACGTCTTTATCCATTTTTTGCAGCAATTCAACGTTTTGTTTGATGGACATCGAAACATACTTTCGTTTTGTACGATCCTTTGGGAGCTCCAGAATCAAAAATTCTATTTGACATAATCGAAAGTTCAAGTTTACTTTTATAGTATTGCTCTTACAGTCTGCAAAAAATAATAAGCCGGATCCAATTCGAAAATTAAGGAACAATGCAATCATCAACATTAACTGAAATAGATAATTAGATAATTTTAGCTTACACCGTCCGTTATACATAAAACGCGCACGCGAAAACGTATTCTGCGCTTGCGCACACGCAAATGCGCAGTCGTAAGAGGTCTCACGCGCACGCGTAAACGCCTATGCGCATGTGTCAACGCGGCGCATGCGCAGAAAGTTTTTAGCTTTGAGGTCCGGATTATAGATCATTCCGAATTATGGGTGTCCGAATTAACGACTTTTGACTGTATATAATTGATTCCAAACACACAAAAATAAAGCTATTAAGTTAAAATTAACTGCTAAATCTCTATACTTGAGGCAAAACAAACAAAGCAAAACATTTTTAGTCATCAAAAGCAACTTTCCCTCAGGATTTGCTATGCTTTAAGGATTTCCTTTTGACAGACTTAGGCCACAACACAGAGTTTTACATTGCAATTTGCCTTTGAAATTAATTATAATCACGTACTTTATGCTTTATTTATGTTATTTATACATATATATTTAAATGTGGATTGCTGTTAAGTTTTTGTAAATATTGCTACTTTTGCAAGCTCAAATAACTTAACAGGAAACTTAGTTGACTCCCAAAGTCTGGTAAAATTAAAGAAACACTGAATTAAATTTATAATTCCTTACTTTATATATAAACCTACATATACATTCATTACTTTATAGATGAAATTTTTGGTGAGGTAGCATCTTTTATTATCTCCCCATACTTTTTTATAATTCAACTCCTTTTCTTCTCGTTTTCTTTCATATGACCATTGTTACAGTTCTAGTAATTCCCGAAGCAGCACAGACAATCTTCACAAGCGGGAATGCAAATATCATTTTCACATCGAAATCATAGTGGTCTGCTCACTAATCAACACCAAAACCATCATGAACTACTCTTTATTTTCCCTGTAGTCCATATGCTTCTGCAGTAAACAGAGGCTCAGAAAGCCCTCATGGATCTGATGGCTAATTGCTCAAAATGGGCATATTAATGAAATACATGTTAGCTGAACTCGAAAGATTTTGCAGAAAAAATCTCCTATATTAAACCAATTATAATACTACAGTGAAGAAATTTAGTGGGATTTATTACTATTTATTTCCTTTTGCTACAAAAATAAAAAGCCTTTTACAAGCCCGCCTTCATTGCAATTATTAAATTAGAAATATCCAAAACAGAGACCATAAGAAAGTATTTTTAAAAATATATTTCACATTCTACTTGATATGAACCTTAATTTTTGTTTGCTTGGGATCAAAACAATCTTCAAATCGTATGCTGTATCCGACTAAATGACCAAGAAGAGCTCCCTTCTCATCTGCAACTCTGGATGCTAACTGGAAAAAAAAGTAAAACAGTATCATTTTGTGTGGGGGAAAAAAAAAAAGTAAAAAGGTTGGACATGAAAATAAAAGAATTTTTCTTTCAACATGAAAAGTGTTTACATATAAATGATGATGTAACCAATGATAACAAAAAGCTATCATTTATTGCATAATAAAAATCATGGCTAACAAAAATAATGCTATTAGTGTGGCAGACGTTTGCCAAAAACACTGCAGAGAAAATTATGGCCAACCAAAATAATGCTATTAGTGCGGCAGATGTTTGCCAAAAACATTGCAGAGAAAACAATGCAAGATGAAAACGTTGTGATACAAAATATTGTGGGAGAAAAGAAAGCAAAGAGAAAGCATTGCAGTTCTTAAACATGGCGGTACAAAATATCATCATCGAAAATAAAGCTGTTAAAAAACTTCACTGTTAGAAACATTGTTGTCGAAAATATCATGGTAAAAAATTAAGTACCTACAAATCATCAAATGATGATAACAATGCGAACATGCATTTTTCAGGTTTTAAAAGCTGTAAATGCATTTTTGTACCTACAAAATTGAGAATGCAAAAAGGGGAAGAGCGATATTTTTACATTGATGTTTTATATTTTTGAATGAACTAATAAATTTTTTCTGAAAAAATAAGGAGACTTAAGCATTTAAAAATTGAAAATGAGTAGAAAATTAATGCAACTTATAGATCTTAATAGAATTTTAAATTTACATAGTGAATTAATAAAGGTCATTAATAAATTAATCTTTTTTTATAAAGTTTTACTCATAATGTTTTATTAAAAATACAGTTTAAAAATGTTTAATAAAAGGAAGAAAAATAACTGCATGAGGTTAATTCTATAAAAATTGCTTAGTTAATTATCATATTGCTTTCTTTCACATTTATTAATCTTATATTGTTTTGGTGAAAATTATATCTTGTTTTATTTCCATTTATTTTTAAAGTGTTGCTAACATTTTTTGCAGTTCCAAACCTTTATGCAAATATGCGTTTACAATTTTTAAAACCTGAAAAATGCATGTGTTCAATGTTGTTGTCACATGATGATTCGTAGGTGCTTTATGCTTTACCATGATATTATTGATGATGATGATTTTAAATTGCGAAGTTTTTGAACCGCTTTATTTTTTATGACGATATTTTGTACCATGATGTTTTAGAACTGCAATGTTTCTTCTTTGCTTGCTTTCTCCTATGATGTTTTGTACCATGATGTTTTCGCTTTGCATTGTTTTCTCCATGATGTTTTCGTCTGCAATGCTTTCTGATGTAACCAGTGTGGCAACATCATAAAATAATACAGTCAAAAGTCGTTAATCCGGACTCGTCGGGACTTCGGCGATTCCGGATTATCGATTTTTCCGGATTATAGATCATCAGTTTAAATCGCGTAAGATGGCATGCAGAAATTCAAAATTAAAAATATGAAACCGTAATTTATGAAAATAAAGAACAATTATGATCTAAAGGGTATCAAAATTTACAAAAAAAAAAAGCTTAATATTTATTTTTTACTTTATTAAACATTTCTTTCAATGTAAGTTGTTTAAGTTGCTTCATTTTATGTGATAATACTTTCTTTTTAATTCTATAAACAGACATAATTTTTGTTTCACTTACAAAGTTCCGCTGTTCAAGTCCCTATAATTGCTGTGCGAGAATACCGACTAACTTGTCAATCGAAATTTTTTCGTTTTCACTAACTCTCTGTCACATTCTTCACGTCTTTTCCATTTTTTGCAGCAATTCAACTTTTTGTTTGATGGACATCGAACATACTTTCGTTTTGTACGATCCTTTGGGAGCTCCAGAATCAAAAATTCTATTGGACATAATCGAAAGTTCAAGTTACTTTTATAGTATTGCTCTTACAGTCTGCAAAAAATAATAAGCCGGATCCAATTCGAAAATTAAGGAACAACGCAATCATCAACATTAACTGAAATAGATAATTAGATAATTTTAGCTTACACCGTCCGTTTTACATAAAACGCGCACGCGAAAACGTATTCTGCGCTTGCGCACACGCAGAAAGTTTTTAGCTTTGAGGTCCGGATTATAGATCATTCCGAATTATGGGTGTCCGAATTAACGACTTTTGACTGTATAAATTGTATAAAATTTTGATATAAGTTCAACAACTATGCTTTTATTGCTGTTTAAAATTAAACATATTACGCAAATTTCATTTTTTAGTATTAAATTGTCTTTTCTGCATAAAAGTTTGGAAGCAATGGCTAAAACATTGTCAAACACTGCCATTGACAAACATTTTATTAGATGCCTAATGAAATTTCTAGTAAAGATTGCATAACACATTGTTTAGTAGACCCATTCTTTTCAACAAGAATATTGAGTGAGAAATTCAATAGATTTATATTTACATAGTTTTTAGCAGTGTCTAAAAGCACAAATATATGAATCAGAGTGAGCTGGTACTTCTAAACATTTTCATTTTCATAAATTTTATTTTTACATTGTGAAAGTTACTGGATATCTTGTATAACAACTGAGATATTTGAAATTAACATTAATCAGTGATTCTAATTCACATTTATTAATTTGACTGGATCAAATGAAAATTGGTACGTAACCTATTGTCTTATCGACTGTTAAACTGTCACAAAGTAGTGCAATTTAGTGCCAATAGTGGATATAAGAATTATATAATTATAGAAAGGTATGATATAACAACACATTCATAGAATATTTCGTTTGAAATAACTCCAATTGATACTTTATACTCATGTTTTATTTATGTGAATAACAATATAAATTAGATGTTATTACTTAATTTTTTCTTGCATTTTGAAAAAAATTACTAAAATTTGGACCTACCTTTTACAGAAAAGTAAGCAGTGGATTATTTTCATAGTTATCGGATCCTACCATTAAAAAGGATGTGTATTAATGGACATGATTATGGTCAGCTGAATATAGCTGATAAAAGAATAATAGATTGGAGCAATCACCTTAGCAAGTCTGTACTGAAGCATTCTAAGCAGAAATTCCATTAAAATCAGAAGGCCTAACAAAATAGTAGACATCAGAGAAAGCATTTTTACGAAGTGCAAGAATGAAACAGGCAGGCCCGTGCCAAGCCTAATCGGCGCCGTCAAGCAAATGTCTAGCGAGCGCCTTTATGTACTGATGATAGTACAGGGGCATTGCTTATGGTTAACATTTAACATAAAGCATTATTGACATAATAACATAATAATATGAAAAACAAACAAAAAAAAATTAGACTTTATCTTTTGTTTAAATATGCAAACATTTTGTGCTTTGTTAAAACCCACACTCAAACATATGTATTGAAGAATTATACATACATTTATGTTATAAAAAGGCGCCCAACGTGTTTAGTGGTTAGCGTTGCCGACTGCCATGCCGAAAGGCCTGGGTTCAAATCCCGGAGAAGACATGGATCTTTGTAAATGTATAGTTTCCGTGTGGCATGGGGACACTCCAAATATGCGAGGCGAATGTCCTTAAAAAAATTTGGTGGTAGGGAAAGATGGGTGAGAGATGCTAAGAACCATCCCCCATTAAAATTGGGGGCAAAACTGAGCTAAATTGCACTGTCACCTGCCGACGACAGGCGTATCTTACACTCCATGCCACCAGGAATTTCGTGGGCTTGGGCTAACTATAGGTCAGACAATTGGGCATTAGTCAACAACACCACCAACAACATGTTATAAAAAGTAACACTGCAAGCGAAGCGAAATATACCAATTATATATTGGTATATATATTTGGTAAATTGCTGAACACTATTTATTATCTTAAAATTAAAGCAAATTAATATACATATCTAATAAGTTTTCACTGACATTTATTTTACTTGCTTTGCATGTGACGTTGTCATTTCGTCTGCTACTTATTTAAAATTTTCACATTGTTCTATGTCTTAAAATTAGAAATTAAAGTTAATGACCTAAAACTTCAATAGTATATATTACAGTACAAGTGAAAAAATTGACAGTTTAACTCACAAGTGTGTCGGATTTGCGCACTGCTTATGGTGTGCCTACAAAATTTTCGTAAATATTATGGGGGTCCTGGGGTCGGGAAAAAACTCTCAGTGATAAAGAGCGGTCACGAATGAAAAACGTTTAAGAAATACTCACTTTTTCAGAAGTAAGGTAAAATATTTTTAATAGTAAAAATATTTTACCTTACTTCTGAAAAAGTGAGTATATCTTTAACCAGGGTTTCTTAAACGTTTTTTATGCAATAGTTCTTATAAAAGTTATTTTCTAATTTTATTTTTAATATAAAATTAGAAAATAACTTTTACTAAACTAATATACTTAAACTAATATGTTTACGGCTGCGAATATGCGTGTGCGCATGTGCATAATAGCATAATACGTTTACGCTTGCGCGTTTAGTGTATAACGGACGGTATAAGCTAGGCTAAAATTATCTAATTCAGTTAATGTTGCAGATTGCGTTGTTCCTTAATCTTCGAATTGGATCCGGCTTATTATTTTTTTCAGACTGTTAGAGCAATTTTATAAAAGTAAGCTTGAACTTTCGATTATGTCAAATAGAATTTCCGATATATATTTACTAATATGTAAAGGATCTACCAAGCGAAAGTATGTATCGAAGTCCATTAAACAAAATGGAATTGCTGCAAAAAAATGGATAAAGGCATATCCTTGTTTTTAAAATTCCGAATCTGTTTATCATTTCAGCTGCTCTGCCGGGGGGGGGGGACGTTGCAGCGTGCAATGAACTGGAAGTTGATCTGTCAGCACTATCCTTATCTTCAGGGCAGATGTTTTTATTTTAATTGGCTTATAATTCCTTACTAAATGTAGCATTTCATCTCAATGTACTCCGTCATTGATATGATTTAAATCAAATTCCTCGTCATTATAATTCGCTTCCGATAGCCAAAAAAGTGACACAGAGGTTATTGAAAATGAAAAAATTTCGATTGACAAATTAGTCGGTATTCTGGACACAGCAA